AATAGGCTTTGATGTTCACTTGGCATTTCCCCCTAACATGTCAGCGTTGTCAAAGTAAAGATTTGAGCCTCGTTTGTACTTCCAGTTGTCTTCCGGGAAGAACCATTGAAAAGAGCCATGAACGACTGTCTATATAACAGTTAGTTTGAATGATCTCAACTAAAGTGACCTCCCGGGCAAGAAAAAGGTAACTGGAGAGAGAGGAAAGCTAATATAAGAGAGGAGTGCCCGACAGCCCTGCAGGCTTTCACGAGCATCTGTTTCAGGTTAGGGACGAATCAGGGAGGTTTTACGAGTCTCCAGTGACTTTCTTTAGGGCATCCACACTAGCGTTAAAATGAGGATGCAAATAATACCAACTAAGACCTCCTGTGCGAGAAAATATGTGGATGTTTTTGGGCACCAATGAGAAAGGACTTGTTTCCATTTTTAACTTGTAAGAGTGAGTATTCAGGTGTCAATAAAAGTTGTGTAAAGTAATAGCAGACATTCCCGGAGCTCTAGCCATTGCTTGGCCTTTGACAAGTGTTATTGCCTTTGAATGTCACAGAAACCACGTGGGCTAGGGGATGTTCTTCCACCCATTTTATAGATGAGGAAACTGAGACTTGGAAACAGTAAGGAGCTTGCTCCAAGGTTACTGGGGGTAATCAGCAGAGCTGGGATGGGTGTTGTTGGCACAGTCTGATTCCAGAGATCGGAAGTTCAACAGGCACAGGGCACCACTAGTTACTTGAAATTGCCTTCTCTGTGTCCTGAACAATTCTGAGGCCCTGTACTTGGACTTGGAGGGTGTGTCTAGTTCATTACCATCGAGAACACTACTAATCACAGTGATTACTGTTGCAGCCCCTTTGAACCTTTTGTGTTAATTAGAACTAAGTGAAGTATTTAGCAGTTTTTAATATTACAAAACTCATGAAATATTTAAGAGTGCTCTAAATAGAAGAACGAAATGATAATTTTAGCAGCTGTATTTCAAGTCTGCATTCTTCGTTTATAATTTAAGTGCAAAGCTGTGCTTTATAAATATAAAACTACTGTGTGAGAGTTATCCCCAAACATCAGGGCTCTGTACTAGAAAATTTCGAAGGACCCTCAAGACTCAGGTAAAAGTAAAAATTAATATCTTGCATTTCAGGAGGTTTTCCTGTTTAGAAAATTTATTGTACTAGCCTCGTTTCTTTTGAACCAACTACCCTTAGAAATAGACTAGAAATAGTATCTTATTTTACTGATCAGGAAACCAAAATTCAAAAATCTTGAGCAATTTTTTTCCAATTCACCCATTTGGTAAATGCTACATATGGGACTTATACCATTTTTTTCCCAACTTTGAGCCCAGAGCTCATTACAATCATTCCCTGCAGGTAAATGCAGGTAGATGGTCTATTTGTCAGTAGCCAAAGCATACTGTGCCCTAGAGGAGATGCCCCCAGGAGGGCATTTTCCAAACAGCATGGAAACAAGTGGCCATTGGCAACCCAGAGGAGAAGTTAGAAGTGAGTTCTTGGTGACACAAGTGGCTATTTCTGTGGAAGGCATTGCAGTCATTTATCAGTGCCCAGGCAAAGGGACAGAAACCTGATTCTTTGAAGGGAACATAGTGAACAGGCGGAACATTGCTGGTCTTATGTTTTATGCTGGGTTTCTGGTGTGTTTTTTAAAGTAAAGACAGGCACAAAGGAATAAGCTCCCTAGCTGCTGAGGGCGTACAAGGTGGGGGGAGTAACGAGAAAAGAATCCATTGACTAAAACCTGTCCGATGTGGAGCGGAGATTTCTGAGTGATGAAAACAAACCCCTTATAATTTTTCCACCTGAGGACAGGTTTGGCTCAGGGATGACATGTGGTTTAGCATGCTGATGGCTCTCATTGTGGAGGGGGAGAGAGGTGAAGAGAGGAATTAAAGAGACATCGACAGACCACGCTCATGGAGCTCCTTTCTGGGGGGCGTGTTAATAAAGATGGCACTGCATAGTGTTTCCCTTCCTCTCTCTCTCTCTCTTTCCTTTGAATCCTTACCCAAGGATATTTTTTCCATTGCTTTTCAGAGAGAGTGGAAGGGAGAGAGAGAGAAACATCAGTGTGAGACACACACCAACTGGTTGCCTCCCACACGGACCCTGACGGAGCCAGGGATGGAGCCTGCAACCTAGTACGTGCCCTTAGCTGGGACTGGACCTGGGGCCCTTCAGGTCACGGGCCAGCGCTCCAACCACTGAACCACACCAGCCAGGGCTGCTGCTGCTTTCCTGTGAGACTAGTTGGAAGTGAAACACAAAATGTATGTTCCTCACTTAAGGGAAACTTTAGGCTCCAACAACAAACAGCAACAAAAACCAAAAACTCAAAGACATCATCAAATCATCAAATTGAGGTCAGTTGGTCTCTGCTTGCAGTCTGGAGTTGGGAAGGACTTGGGCGTCACACCTGGTCCTTTGTCCACTCAGTGACACTGTCCTGTGTGTGCTCCTGTGTTCTGCTTGAGCCCGCATGGTAAGAATGTCACTGCTTCCCAGGCAGCCTGTCCCATTGGTGGAAAAGCTGGGCTGACTCTGAGCTGCTCTCTGTCCTTTCCCCCTCTGGTCCTACTTCTCTCGTAAGTACTTAAACAGGAATCAACCCGCCCCCTTACTCCGGTCTCTGTTTTTCTCTGAAAAGGCAATTATCACACTCTCTGTGGCTCTCAAGATGCGCCGTTATGTTCTCTCATCCATCTCTCAACCCTTAATTGGTTGAATGGCTCCTTCACAAAATGGACCTTGTCTGAGGACTCGGGGAAGGAAAACAGTCCTTACAAACGGAGACGTCCAGTTAGCTCAGCCACATTTCCTACTACAGTAAGCTCTTGAGAGCTCTAGGGTTTCTGGGACCCTGTCTTGACTGGGGCAAGGGGTTGAATGTGTGGGGAGGTGGCAGAGGGTGGAGGCCCAGTAAATGCCTCCTCCCATCATTTATTATTTGTGTGAACTGGTTTACATATTGGATTTCCCCTTCAAGTTTCATGCAATGAATATTTATTCAGATGTTTATGTAAGATCTGGAAAAAATAGGAGGGCATTGTGGCCAAAAAGTGTGAAAATTCCTGGCTTAGATGGTCCCTAACAGCCTTGCAACATGAACACTTTATGATCTTAATCTAGGAAGTACAGATTCACTCATTTCTCACCATGGGAATTCTAAAGTATGAGCAATTATATTGAAGAATTAAGGTGGGGACATGGCATCCTCGACATTGTTGTTCAGTAAGGTATGGCCCTTCTGAAACGTGCAAAAGAGAGAGAAAAAAAGATTTTGCAACCTGATTTCTCCAACCATTCCAGTAAGTCCCATAGTGCAAACTTTCCTCAACTTTCTGGGATATTCTTTTCACCCAAAGGAATATTTGGTTGTGTCAGCACATTCACAAACCATAGCAAGGGCTATTTTTCAACCAACAGATTGCCAACCAGAAAGTAAAAGACATAAATTTACTTTAAAATTACAAGAGAGCAAGAAGTCCTAAAAGAACCATGCATCATTTTGGAAATTCTATTCCTCACCATCAACAACAGGAAATGACCAAACCAATGGCTATGGACACACAAAATATCGATTTCAGAAGCAAGCTGCCAAGTTTGAAAAAGAGCTCAGTCCTGAATTTCTTCGTTTAGACTCACTTCCTGAAAGCATTCCTTCAATAGCTCAATTGTTGAAACCATCAGGTACTTGAACATTGAGAAAATTTGGCTCATTGAATATTAAATATTGTGAGTTTCTTTGTTTTGTAATTGTTTATTGGTGACATAGAATTCTTTGTAACTACAGTCTCTTTTACATCCCTCCAGCCACACACATCATGCAGGTGAGGGGGACTCAACACCAGAGGCTCTGAGGTTTCCTAAGTGAGTCACGGGAGGTGGAGGCAAAACCTAAAAGCAGACGAGAGTGTGCCTCCCACGTGCTCTGCTGGCGTCCTAAGCGCTGGGCGAATCTGTCTAATTTCACCTGACTCTGCTCAGTTACTTGCACATTGGTTGATAGATTATTATTAGTAACCACAAACAAGTCTTGAAAAAGAGAGGGTTACTTTTCCTTTCAGTACCTGACTTTTTCTGATTTCACTGAGGTGGTCCAGTGGTAAAAATAGGTAAGATAAAAAGGTAAAGCCCTCCAAGTGCTAATTGTTTTTGTGCATTTTATTTGATAGCAGGGCATTTTTAAAATTTTTTTTATTCAGAAGGTTTGAGAGTATTGCTAACTAAACCATACTTCAAGCTCTCAGAAGAGACTTGGCTATAATTTGGGTAGGGTTAAGAAGCCATTCATTTCAGGTGAAGGAAAGCTACAGGAGTTCCACTTGTAATAGGGAGAGTCCTTATAAAAAATTAAAAAGTGCAGACAGAGGATTTTTATCATGCAAGTTATCTGTTCTTGGTGTTTCTTAGCCGCTTAAGGTCTTTTTGGCAGACTTTAAATTGCTCAGGCTTATTACTCATTTATGTTTAAAAGTGGTTGGTTTCTGACAATGCATTGCAGAGTTGCAGGAATTCAGTTCCAAGGAGGAACCTGCTATAGCATGTCCAGATTAGAAAGAACATACCCTGTCGGAAAAATTAATGGGATTTTACAGACATTAAAAGAAGACTTAAAATAATAAGAAACTAAACAAATTAAGAATTCTTCCCAATATCAGGTTAATAGAGTTAAGTTCAAGCTTTTTATGCTTAAGAATTTAATGAGTTCAGAATTTCCTTTCACAGGTAATTCCTTGGGAAGTCTGTTTTTTTGGTGTCATTTTCAAGTGTTCATTAAAAAAAAAAAAAGGCAAAATCTACCACACAGAGAAGCAAAAAAATATCAGCCTTTGCAATTTACAGAATTAAGCCCCCTGGTTTACTGTGCTCACTTCCCGAGATGGCCAAACCCACGCAGTGACTTACTAGGGTGTCTGGCGTCCACAGCCTCGTGGTGTTCAGCTCCACCAGGGAGGGGAGCGTTTGGGACATCCAGTTAGAGATCATGGCCAAGGTGCTCAGCACAGCGCCAAGCTGCAGCGGTGGCGGGCTCATGGCTGAGGCGCTAATGAGTTTTCACAGTGACGGATGGAGATCCTGGTGTGGTGCTGGCGGCTGGAGGGAGGCGGGGCTGCAGCAGCTACAGCTCCACAGGCAAGAGATCAACTTCCCAGCTCTCAGCACCGGGAAAAGCTCCAGAACCTCTCTCCCCACCCTCAGGCTTCCGGGAAGGGAAGAAGTGCCCTCCCGGCCCTGCCCTGCCCTGCCTTGCCCTGCCCTGCCTTGCCCTGCCCTGCCCTGCCCTGCCCTCTCCTCTCCTCCCCTCCCCTCCCTTCCCTTCCCTTCCCAGGCACTTGGGTGGTTCTTCCAGGAATGTTCCGGGTGGGGCTGGGTTAGTAATTGTCTGAGCAGAAGTTGGAGGGAGGGGGAGCCCGAGCATTTCCTGCCCCACTCCAGGCGCTGTGAGCATCCAGAGTCCATTCCCTCTGGGGTTTCCTGGGGTGCAGTCAGTGGATCCTTACCCTTCATGAAAAATACACCTTTACATGGAGGTCGACAGGCCCATTCGAATCCACGCCTAATACCTACACATTTCTCTGGGCATATCCAGAGCAGAGGAACAAAACTATGCAAAGAATTTCCAAGATATGAGAGAGAGTTTTTTTTTAAACAGTAACCTAAAATTAGCTGTGTTGACTCTAAAAAAAAAAAAAAAAAAAAAAAAGAAGAAAGAATAGTCAAAGATGAATAGCTGCTGCCTGTGGGGACAGTAGCCTGGGCACCTTAGGTGAAGAGACAGGACAGACAGCCTTGGAGGAGAGCTCTGGTTGTGGAAATTTCACCGGTTTCAGAAGATGCCCAGGCACCAGCAAGCTCAGGTAACTCTGCTTTCTCCTTGGGAGGCAGGGCAGCCAGATCCAGAAGTCTCCAGAGCAAGCATGTGACTTACTGAAACTGCACAGAATTGGAACCAGGGTCTGAGGTCTAGTCCTTGCTCTCCTGTAGTTAGTTGTGTGACTGGCCAGTGACTTAAATGTCCTTGGCTTCAGGTTTTTCTTTTTCTACAATATATGGGGGTTAGACTCCCAGCTCTCCAAGGTTCCCCTCAGCTTTAAAATTCAGAGATCTGTTTGTTAGGGTTTTGTTGGCAAATGAGTATATTGAACTGGGTAACTTTGTTACTTGGTTTACAGACGCGACAGAGCGACACCCAAACCTCAGCTACCGAATAGAATAAATCAGGGGCCATCGTCTTGTGTAATATACATAGTTTAAAATAAAAATAGAGATCTGAGACATAAAGGGGAGTATGGCTGGATGAAAAGGAAATGAAAAGGAACCTGTTAGAGAAAGAAGGAAATATTGTTTTGATTCCTTAAAAGAATCCTGAAATTGTTTGTAATTGTAACTTTTAGCCAATTACAATGAGTATAATTACCATCTGCTATGTAATTTTCTTCAATGGTTTTGGCAGGAGAAATTAGGAAGGTGCTCTAATGAAGTAGAAAGAGAGACGTGTTTATAGAGGTGTATGTGCCCTTTATTCTCAGCAGCAGCTGTAAATGGGGTGATTGCTGAGACACTCCTTGGATCTTCCTTCCTACCTCTAGGACCCAGGCTATGTTTTGCCCTTTAATATACATCCAAAGGGTTTCAGTTGACTCTAATTTTTTAGCCAAGTTCCCAGAAAACCACCAGTTACTTCTTTTTGTCTTTCAAAGATCATATCATATGAGAGACCTATAAGGATAAATGCACAGTAGTTTACATGCTAAAGTCAGCATTAGATAAGAGCATTCGTAGAAAGGACTGTGAAATTTTACATTAATATTACAGAGTGGCAGCAACAAAAAGCGAAGTGGATTTACAAATCTAATTGTTAGCAAGACACCTGTAACTCGATATGACTTTAATAAAGGAGGGGAGTGTCTTTTCAAGATCCTAATTCCCCAAATTGAAAACTAATACACATGCAATTACTGGGTAATTTAAGCTGCAACATGGCAGATGGTAATTATACTTATTAATGAAACCGTCAGTTGACAAAATGATAGTCTCTTTAGAAGAATATGTCCTTTAATGGCAGGAGAAACCAGGCCCTTAATTGCAAATCCAAAAGAAAGGAAGAAATAAAAACCCAGCATCAATGGAACGCCTCTTTCCATTTGCCAGAGATGCAAATAACCGCACGAGAGGCTGAGAGAGAACACTAGTGAAGGTTTACGATTTGCTGATGCTTATGAACATCATAAAAGCTATAATGTGTTGTTTTTAGAGCAGGTTGAAACGGCACATGTGGAAATAGAAAAGCTTTCATTCTAATGATTATTAGTTGTGGGGATAAACACAACTACCATTTGTAAAGACCTAAATAGTTCCTGACGCTCTCAGACTCTACAGAGAAATGATCATCACAATTTCCATCTTGGAAGTTGAGCTCTAGTTTGCAGATGGGGAGGTGATTACTCTGGGTAGAAGTAGCAGCCTGCATTCAGGGCAAGCAACCCAGTGGTTAGAGAAGTTCTGCAGGGATAGTACGAATGGTGATGGAGTCAACGTTAAGAGATGAGGCTGGAAATATTCACAGTGACCAGCTCCCAGGCTTCAGGGTCACCCAGAGATGTCTGGACATTACCTTGTAAGGAATCCAAGAATTTTAAGCAGAGTGGTGAAGTCATTTGTGTTCTGTCTCAAATGATTTATTTCTTTGGCTTTTTTATGAAGCCAGCCCGCCAGGTGGGGATGGCAGGAGCAGCAAAACATATCAGAGACCGGGGGTGGGGGATCACATAGGGACCTAGTCTCATAGTTCAGGTGAGATGTGATGAGGTCCTGGAATGCAGAACTGTCAGGGGAGTTTAGAAGGATGGATTCCACAAAGACTTCAGGTAGAATTGACAGCACTCAGTGATTGAATAGGTGTGAGAAGTGAGAGAGAGGCAGTTCCCTGGGGGGAATTTTCAGGTTCAGGGTTTGGATGGTGAATGGTGTTCATCAGGATAAGAGATACAAGTGGAAGCATGACTTTGGGGAAAAGGGAGAGTGTATTGTTACACTGCACGTGAGTTGCCTATAGTAGATAGAGTCCCCGGATGGTAATGTACCCACATATGAAGTTCAGAAAAGAGTAAATTTCACTAGACCACACAACCCCAAGGCCCTAGTAAAAATAATGTGTCCTATGTAGTAGATGACAGAAATGCTTAAATTGGGGACAGTCTTAAAACTGCCTACCAATGACTTTATTTAGACTTTAATTCAAGGTAATCTCACCCGGCTGGGCGTGGCTCAGCGGTTGAGCATCAACCTAGGATCCAGGCGATCAGGGTTCGATTCCCAGTCGGGGCACATGCCCGGGTTGTGGGCTTGATCAATGACTCTCTCATCATTGATGTTTCTCTCTCTCTTTCCTTTCCTCTCTCTGAAATCAATAAAGATATATTTAAAAAAAAATTCAAGGTAATCTCTAGGTTTAGTTACCTATACATAATTACCTATACACTTCTGTTTAAAAATAACAAAAACGACTTCTAATACTAATGAATAGTGAAAATATTAGTAATTCTAGTAATTTCACAGAAAATGTGACCTGGCTATATATCTGTATACCTATATGTCTATATTTATACCTATCTGTCACCTATATCTCTAACCTCAATGTGGATCAATAACTATAAATCCTACAAAGGGCGTTACTGCTGATGGAATACTGAAAGGTATTGACTAACATTTATTCATTAGATTTCTTATGGAAACCTGCCTTCCTATTATCCAGAGAGTGTTTAATGATAAACCTATATAATAATTAATAAGCAAATAAATAATGACCAAAATAGACTTATAGGTGATCTTATGTAATATTGGCAAGTTCTGTCATTGGAATTTTATTTTTTCCCCTTGTTTAGAGCACAAAAGTTTAACATTGCTTTAATAATCAATGCTCTTTCTGGTTTGGGGGCTGTTTGTTGGTGAGTGTGGGTTTCTGGGGAACTCAGCTTAGGCAGATATGAAAAAGTCAGATACATGGAAGGACCCAATGGCCACATAAAATACAGTAGAAAAACCCAAAAGTTTGACCTTGGGCAAAATGAGAAAAGGAGACTGTGATTACTTGTTAAACAATAGAAAATTAAAGAAGAATAGTCTACATGTATTTTATTGTAGTTTAAAACATTTCAACTTTGTGGATGGTTTGAGGAAGAGTGGAAAATGGCATATTGGATGCAGTTGTAGAGACCAGCTGAAGGAATTATCAATGGAGGAGGGTGGCATTTGGGTAGAGTAATGGCAGATGGATTGTGGTTGACTCAGAGAACAGTTGAACCAAACTGACGTGTAGGAAAAGCAAAGCAGACTAGACTCGTGGTAGTAAGTTAAGTAGGAAAAGTGGGAAGAGTGTTACGAAAAGTAAGGCAGGAGACAAGAGTGCTGGAGTTGAAACCGCCCTGGGGAAACTGTTTGCCCTGGGTGGAGGTGTGCTATGGGGGTGATCAGGGAAATAGGCAGCACCATTTGTGACTCTCCATTTTCTCATCTGTAATAAAATAAGTGACAAACGTACCTATATGAAAGATTCTCAGAAAGACTGAATGAGAATATATCTGAAGTGGTGTGACTGGGGCAGGGCCAGAAACCATAGACCAGCCTAAGGAGCACTGGGCCCTGAAAGGCTGGGACGTTTTGTGTCTTCGCTTGGGGTGGGGGACTTGAGCCTGGGCTCCATGCTGACTTCCCACCCCGTCACGGTGGATGAAGGGAATAATACAGCTTTGCCGAGGGACACAGTCACTGGGTTTCTGGAGCAAATAGTCCAACTCAGAGAAAAAGAACTAATGGTCTTGCTTCCTCCTTCACCAAAAAAGTCAGAGCAGTGACGCGAGAACATCCACAAGGTCCCACTACCACGTGTACTCGCCCAGCTCACCTGCATCCACGCACTCTACCTTTTCTCCCATTGCCACTGGTAGTCGTCTGTGTCTAGGAAGGCCGGTCCCTCCCCTGCGCACGCGCTCGGTCCCTTTCAGACATTGTGCGTGAGGGCTGCCTGCAAAGCTTGCTAAGACCCAGGCTCCCAGGTCCCACCCTGAGAACCTGACACTGGCTCTAGCATTGGGCCAGATAACTTGCATCTATGACAGTCTCCCAGCTGAAGCTCATGCTGCCCTTCGAGTAGACTGCCCTCGGTCACGTCCATCTTGCCTCAAAGACAACTCTCTAATTCTCTT